AGCAGGGAGCCCGATGCGGGACTCGATCCCGGGACTCCAGGATCATGACCTGAGCCGAAGGCAGTCGCTTAACCAACTGAGCCACCCAGGCGCCCTGCCTTTTTTTTTTTTTTTTAACGTACCTCCCTTGCACCCCGTTTTTGCTTGTCAGCTATTAGTTGTTCATTTTTTCCCCCACATATTCATTTCTTCTGAATCTGACTTCCGGTGGAGATGGCCAGAATCAGTAGCCACTGCCCACCCCACCCCACCCCCAGCACATGTGCAGGGCATGTTCCCATTTTTCTGCAGTTTTTGCACTTCATACATCTTTTTTCTACTTTGTCGTCATCTGAGGCTCATTGACTCTGTTGGTAAATACTAGCAAGGTGGGAACTGGGCAGACTGCAGGACCAGCTAGGAGGGCCGGCATGGCCGCAGGTCACGGAGGGGCTGGAGATGCTCAGGGCTGTGCACCTGCCTGGCACCGCTTCCCTTGATCAGGAAGCAACTGCATCTCAGAGCTGAAATGTCCCTGTCCCTCTACCTGTGGGTGTTGAAGACATCTCCCCATTCCCCCCCTTGTGTGTCTGCCCCATGTCTGGACAGCTTTGATGGTGTGTGCTAGTGATGAGCGTGGACTGGCCAGGTGGGAGCAGGGCCTGAGGTCGTACTGTGGTCCCTGGGGTAGGCATGCACCTGCGCCTTGGTGTGTGTGCCTGGACCGAGAGAGGTCATCGTGGAAGAACATGGGACACTTAATGTCTGTCTTCATTCGGGCTGCTGTAACAAAGTACCATAGCCTGGGTGGCTTATAAACAACGGAGAAGTACTTCTCACAGTTTTGGAGGCTGGAAATCCGAGATCAAGATACCAGCATGATCGTGTCCTGGGGAGAACCCCCTCTGGGTTGCATGCAGACTGCCCTTCTCTTGGGTAGGTGGAAAGAGGGCGAGGGAGCTCTCTGGGATCTCTCTTATATAAGAGCACTGACCCCATTCATGGGAGCTCCAGCCTCACGACCTCATCACCTCCCAAAAGGCCCTCACCCCCTAATACCATCACGTGGTGGGTTAGGAGTTCAGCCTGTGAGTTTAGGATGAGGAGACGACATAGACATTCATTCCATGACAATGCCCTTAGTGGACTTTTTCATAAAGTATAGTTCCAGGAAAATAAACATGTTTTTAACAGTTTAAAATTTTAAAATAGAACAAACCACATCACAGTATTAAGGGTAAGAAGCACAGTAGGAACACCGTAGCTAACATTTTTGGAAGTCTTGGACTGTGCCCAGTACTCTCCATGGATTATCTCACTTCGACCTCATGACGGCCCCACGAGGAAGGTCTTGTTACTTGCTCACGTTGCAGAGGTGAGGACGCGAAGTGACTTGTCCAGCTCCTGAGCTGGACTTGACCCCAGGCAGTGTGGACCCGATCCAGTGGCTCCAGGTGTCTAGCTTCTAGCCTTTAGTACATAGGCACTTTGAATTCTGCATTCTCTTATTTCATTATGTTACAGACCATATGGGTTTTTTTTTTATGGGGACTACATCCTAGAAATACATGCTGAAATCAGGATCTTAATCATCACTGGATCCAAGTCCCTCATTACTTACCAGGCATGGCACCTTTTCTTCCTGTGCTGACCCATGTTTATTTTATCCATTCATTCATCAGCAGACGGACATTTGGGTTGTTTCTACCTTTTGTCTGTGATGAATAATGACACTGTGATGCTGCAAGCGTTCATGTATGAGCTTGTGTTTGGACGTCTGGTTTCATGTCTCTGCATATATACTTAGGAGTGGAATGGAGTTTCTTGGGTGGAGAGTCTGATGATGTCATTGTTCCATGAAGACAGGCCAGACCCACCCTACTGAAACGGTTTCCCCTTTTTATCTTTCTTGCCAAGTGTATATTGTTGCATTCAAGGGAGTTGGTGTGACGAGTCCGCTAGATTGTGCTGAGTGACTGGCATGTTATAGCTGAGCAAAGCTGACCTCTGGCAGGGGGTGGGGGGCGAGTGTCGGGTCCGATGGCTTTCTAGAGGGCCTCTCCTCTCTGCAGGTACAAGTCCCTGTGCCCAGACACCTGGCCACACTGGCGTGGACCCCCAGCCGAGGGCGTGGAACGGCTAATCCAGTACATCGGCTACACACCGGAAGAGTACAAGTTAGGGAGGTAAGCGGCCAGGGAATCCCCGTTCAAAAGTTCTGTAAAGGAAAAACTCCTGTGTGTGCCTGCTCTCAGTACTTTGCTCACACCCAGAACATTCCACAATACTTCTGAGAGTAGCTGGGTGTCCTACACTTCTATTCTGACACTTTCCACCCCTGGAAGTGTCAGATGCGCAAGGTAAGGACTCAGTCCCACAGGACTGTCTATCTCCCACTTCAGATGCCAATTGCAAGTCCCCACTGTCACCTGGGCTTCTGATGGCCGACTGGATATCTATTGGAGGATCCCAGGACCCCCTCTTTGGGTTTGACGGATTTGCTAGAGAGACTCACAGAACTCAGAAGACATTTTACTTACTGGATCACCGGCTTATTACACAAGGATAGAACTCAGGAACAGCCAGATGAAAGAGATGCCTAGGGCGGGGTATAGGGAAAAAGCACAGAGCTTCCATGCTCTCTCCGGGTGCACTCAGAACATCAAACCATGTCCTTTTTGGGGTTTTATGGGAGCTTCATTACACGACATGGTTGATAAAACCATTGGCCGTTTGGTCATCACTTCAACCCCCAGCCCGTCTCCCCTACCTGGAGGTGGGGCTGAAAGTTCTGAGCCTCTCATTTCAAGATTGGTTCCCCTGACAACCAGCCCCCATCCTTAGGTTATCCAGGGGACTTGGCGGACATCACCTCCTTTGCATAAACTCAGGTGTGGTGTGGTCGAAAGGGATCTGTTATAAGTAGCAAGACACCCCTTTCACTTTCATCACTTTGAAACTATCTCAGGAACAAAGTCCAAATATTATAACAAAAGGTGCCCCTAGTGCTCTAATTATAAGGGTTTGGGGAGCTATGGCTCTAGAATGGGACAAAGACAAAATACGTATTTCTTATTATGAATCACAGCATCACAAGCTCCAGGTGGTTGGAAGGATGTTGGAGAAAATGAAGTTAGGAAGGAACCCTGTTTTCTGAAGCTGACCGAGGGCTGGGTTGCACCTCTTTGCCTGCAAAATGAGTTTGCCTGGTCGTCTTATTGTTCAAATGCACGCAGGACCTCTCAGAGGGGGTTTTAGGACTTAAAGTGTTGTGAAAGTTCCTGTGGCATCCCGGAAGGTGGTGTTCCAGAACTGTGAGCACATCACTATAGCTGTAGCTGTCTAGGAGCAGGAGAACTTTAGTACACGTTGATAGCGTTGAGGCAAACTCTGTGGGGTGAACTGGGAAGATTTTAGTCTGTCCTGTTAGTCAGTTTGGTCAGGGTTGATGCGGTCGTAAGGAACAGTGCCCCAGGATGTAGAGGGGGCATTCCCAGGCTGCAGAAAATTTCTGCCTTCGAATCCATCAGTGGAATTTGCCTGCCAACCCCTAACTCCCACTTGTCTATAGCCCTCTGTGGCCACCCTGGTCCTTTTCCATCCTTACACTTCTGTCCCGGGCCCGGCTTCAAGAATTAATTACATTTGCAAGCCAGATCCCCGAGGGGATCCTGAGGGAGGCCGACCACGGAGGTCATAGGTGGTCATAGGTGGTATCTGTCCCGATTCCGTAATCTGGGATGGGGATGTGGGATCACGCGGCATGAGGCACTGCTGCCCCTTGGTGGCTTCCCTGGGAAGTTTCCCTCACAGGGTGGGTAGGCCAGGCAGGAAGTGATGGACATCGATAATTATTTTTCTTAAGGTTTTATTTATTTATTTGACAGAGAGAGACACAGCAAGAAAGGGAACACAAGCAGGGGGAGTGGGAGAGGGAGAAGCAGGTTTCCTACAGAGCAGGGAGCCCGATGTGGAGCTCGATCCCAGGACCTTGGGATCATGACCTGAGCCGAAGGCAGACGCTTAACCATCTGAGCCACCCAGGCGCCCCTCTCAGTCCCTATCTTGATGATGTCTGCAAAGACCCTATTTCCTAATAAGATCACATTCTGAGGCTCCAGGGGGAGGGAATACTACTGAAACCAGTGCAGGATTAATCAACCAAGTTAATCATTACAACAATCTCTCTTTTCACTTCTAGAACCAAAATATTCATTCGTTTCCCCAGAACTCTGTTTGCCACCGAAGATGCCTTTGAATTTAGTAAACATCAATTAGGTATGATTTTCTCTGTCCTGACTTCAGTAGAATGTGAAACGAACCAGTTTAGCTTGGTAGACGCCTTACACGTGGTATCCGATACAGTGTCAGAAGCGCTGGCTTTGGGAACCCAAAACAGGATACGGGGTTATAAGACACACGGGGATGTATGCCTTAATGCCTGTTTGGAGGGCAGTCATGGATGCGCCCAGACACTTAAACACTGGATTTGTGTCCCAGTTCTCGTTAGGACCCAACTCTTGTGCTTCACCAGGGCCTAAGCTTTGAAAACTTCATTCGTACGGGTATCTGATGTTGGAAGGTATCACTTCGAAGCCTACAGCCGGGGGTGGGGGGGTGTGAACAGTCAAGGGGGAAAGTTATGGGGTGGGGGTAGGGGAGTGCAAAATCTTTTTTAAGCTACTGGAGGTGGGTGGGGCTTCTCCCTTGAAATCTCAACTGTTTTGTTGAGACCTACCCTGTTGAGTGATGAGTGCTTGCTGCATATTAAGTCCTCTGCACTCAGGACCTCGGTGTGTTTTTTTTTTTTTTTTTTTAAAGATTTTATTTATTTATTCGACAGAGAGAGAGTGCGAGAGAGGGAACACAAGCAGGGGGAGTGGGAGAGGGAGAAGCAGGCTTCCTGCCGAGCAGGGAGCCCGATGTGGGGCTAGATCCCAGGACCCCGGGATCATGACCTGAGCCGAAGGCAGCCGATTAACACCTGAGCCACCCAGGCGCCCCCTCGGTGTGTTCTTAGAACAAACCTACATGGTCATAGTATCTCCGCTTTACATTCCGGGAAACTGAGGTCCAAGATGTCGGTAACTTGCTGAAGGCTGCACAGCTAGTAAGCGGCAGAGCTGGGGTTTGAACGTGGGTCTTTCTGGCTTCCGGACCTGGGCTTGTAACCACTGTGCTTGCTGATCTCGTTTTTTTTTGTTGTTGTTTTGTTTTTGGCCCTGACAGCAGCACGCACTGATCCCGGGACCTGGGACTGGGTGGGTGCTGGCTGCGGGTGGGGCAGGGGCACGCTCAGTCAGCGTTTCTAATCAGCCTCCAGGGGGATGGCATGCCGCTGGTCTGCAGGGGGGCCCTGGATGGGCTTGGCTTGTGGTGGGGACTCGGTCCCCAGGTGGAGGGAGGTGGTGGGAGAAGCTCCAGGGTGAGTGTCCCTGTGGTCCCGCATCCCTGGGTTCACACTCCTCCTCAGTAGTCGCACTGAGGTGCCCTGCAGGTAGGTGTCTCCATCGCCTGAGCCTGCATGCCCATTTGTAGCATGTACTTGACACCTGCCTCGAGGGGTGGGTGTGCAGATGAAGCAGTGCCTAGCCTGGAACCCAGCGCCAGCAGGCCCTCAGTAGACCGGGTGGGCGGCTCTTACCACTGAGTCTGTTCTTTACCTTGAGGGAGGGAGCCAGGAGCTTCTGGTAGCCAGGCTTCCCGTACCCCAGCCCCTCCCACCCCTGCCCGGCTGCACCCCGAGGCCTCTTCTGACCTCCCCTCTGAAGAGCACAACTACACAGTTGCCCAACTGAAAGCCGTTTCACCAACACTTTTATTTTCAGTTGCGAGGATCCAAGCCACATACAAAGCCTGCCTAGAAAGGAGAGTGTATGTGAAAAAAAGACAAGCAGGTAAGAATGACACAGAATCCTGCCCGTTTGCGAAGAGCCAGAGTTCTGTGTCTCTCACCCGTGCGGCACCTAGAGGCACAGTCTCCTTTGTGGCTTTTCTCCCCCTGCCTGTCCTTGGAACCCGGGTGTGGCTCGTCTTTATTCTGTGGACCCGAGATTGTAACCCAGTGGCCCGTATTGGGTCCCACAGATGTGGCTTATTTCATCCACAGCATGTGCTCGTTTAAAGAATAATTTTTTTAAAAGGATACTAACCCTGCAAGTACCCGGGAACCTGTCCCCTGTGGCACTCCAGTCCCTTCTCCACCCCTCGCCCACGTCACTCTTCTGAATTTTGCCTTTATCCTTCCCTTTTCTTGATAATTTTACCATCTATGGATGCATCACTGAACGATATATTTAGTGGCTGGCATGTTTTGAACTTCGTAAAATTATACCATTTGTATTTTTAGGGACATTTTTGTTCCCGAAATTCAACCAGTTGGCCATGTGCAGATTTGGTCGTTTAGTTTCGTAGCTGCACAGGATCGCACGAGTTCAGACATTGGAAAACTTTTTCTTCAAGGCCAGATGATCCTTGAGACTTGTGGGTCATCTGGCCCCTCACGGCTTCTCAACGCTGACGTTGTAGCGGGAAGGAACTTTAGGCAATACATAAATAAATGGGCAGAGTCCTGTTGCAATAAAACTTTATTGACAAAAACAGATGGCCGGCCTGAGGGCCATAGTTTGCCGACCGCTGTGCTGTATGAGTATACCACAATCCAGCCGTTCTGTTGATGGACATGTGGGTTTTTGCAGCTATTTGTTTTTGGAACAGAAACAGTGCTGCTATGGTAAGGAATAAAACCATTTTTTTAAAAAAAGATTTTATTCATCCATTTATTTGAGACAGGGAGAGAGAGAATCTCAAGCAGACTCCGCGCTGAACACAGAGCCTGATGCAGGGCTCGATCCCACAACCCATGAGATCATGACCTGAACTGAAGCCAAGAGTCGGACGCTTAACCGACTGAGCCCCCCAGGTGCCCCAGAAAACATTTTTTTAAAAAATTGGAATACTGAACGAAATATGAAAAGCATTAAAAATTGGGAAACAAGCCAGAAATCTGTGTGTCCCAATTGATGTGTGTCAATTTTTAAGTGTAGACAACTAAAGCATACACTGGATGAGACCAGCCAAATGCAGCCCCACGACTAACGTGTGCCCCTCGAGACGACCTGGGGAAACTCTGACCCCCTCACACAATTTCAGGGCTCTTCTTGAAGCCTCCCACAGCATCGCCGGGATTCCTCGGTTGCCCTGGTTCGGTGGCCTGAGCACCCCCAGATAGGAACTTGCTATACTCAGACACTTAGCAACCCCGGGGAGGGGGGTGTTGGCTGAGAGTGCGGAGGTGGGCGTCTGGATGTCTGGGGGAGGGGGTGAGCGGTTCTGAAGAAAGCCTTTTGTATGTAAATGTGATTGTGCCATCTTCTAATGCTAGCAGTGAACTCTTTCAGCCATCAGACTGGAAGCGCACTGGCGTGGGGCCCTGGCTCGGAAGGCGGCCAGAAGGAGAAAGTGGGCTGTGCAGACCGTGAGGAAGTGAGTTCTCTGCAGAAGGTGATCGCGGCCTTGGTTGAGTTCTTCGGCTTTGTGCAGAAAGCTAAGCTTCCGTCCAGGATGTCAGGCCTTAGGGAGTCCGCTCCGTGGCTTTCCTCCGAGCTCCCTAATCTGACGGTGATCACAATTCACTATGCTCGTTAGTTTCTCTTAGTTCAGAAGTCTCAAGGTCGGCTGCCTTCTGATGCCAGTTGCTGTTAGCAACTAATTCAAGCTGCTCAAAACAAACAAAAAAAATGGTGTGGGTGAAATAGAACCTATCTTTGGGGCAGACTTGACCCATGGGCTACGTGACTGTCGCCCTGCATGGGGACCAAAGCAATCTCTACCGTTTTGGCCTCCTTTGAAATCAAACAGGTGGAGAGAGTCCCAGTGCAGAAATGGGCCAGAAAGCTAACAAAACGCTTGCCTCTTCAGGTTCATAAAGGGATTCATCAACCGCAACCAACCCCTCTGCCCCGACAATGAGGAGTTTATCGTGTTCATGCGGAAGAATTACATCTTGAATCTTCGGTATCATGTCCCAAAGAATGTCTTGGACAAGAGCTGGCTGAGGCCTCCTGGCATCTTGGAAAATGTGAGGACCGAACGGCGACTCCTGTTGCAAGTGACTCGGGCATTGGCGGGGCTCAGCTTTTTTGTCTGTCTTCGTGCAGCTTCCCTCGGCTGGAAAGGGTTGCCCTTAGTAAAGCACTTCTTTGCAAGGCTGTTACACAAGAAATGTCACTCCTCTAAATTCATACTCTAAAGCCAACAGAGGTCTGTTTGCACAGAGCACTTGTCAATAGTTCCTATCCTGATGTAGCCTTCCCGATGGCTTTTTATGACTGTCACCTGGAAAAGTGTTTCTCAAAAGACGGTTCCGAGGACCCTGTGTCTAGAGCACAGTGGGGGCCACTGTAAGATCCTGGGTCCCAGCCTGGGTCTACGGAGGATCTTTAAGAGTCCTTTTCTTTTTTGCCAGGTCCTCGGATGATTCAAACACATTCAAATTTAAGAACCAGTGGTTTAGCAACAGTGAAAAAGTAGTGCAAGATTGGCAGATGAGCTGCCTTCTTGGAGTTTAAAATACTAATGCTGTACTTTAATTTTTTTATATAAAAATTTTTATTTACTTGTTTGACAGAGAGGCGGAGAGAGTGCACAAGCAGGGGGAGCGGGAGGGAGAGGGAGAAGCAGACTCCCCACTGAGCAGGGAGCCCGATGTGGGGCTCGATCCCGGGCCCCTGGGATCATGACCTGTGCCAAAGGCAGACGCTCAACCGACTGAGCCACCCAGGTGCCCCTAATGCTGTATTTTACATGAGACTGGATTCAACTGTGCTTTCAAAGCCTCTGTCTTGGTGGCCACAGCCAAGAACTGGGTGTGCGCAAGGCGAGTGGGACAGAAGTGTGTTCTCCACACAGGCGTCGGACCTGCTCAGGAAAATGTGCACAAGGAACCTGGTCCGGAAGTACTGTTGCGGGATCACAGCCGAGAGGAAAGCGCTGGTAGGGACGGGGCGGGGGGCACACGGGCAGGTGGCCAGGTGGGGGAGGGGCCGGGGCTGGTCTTACCTGGGAGGCGAGGGTCGCACTGTTCCATGCCTCGAACGTGTATTGAGGACTAAACACGCCTAGGCCACTTGGCACAGAGCCCTGGTTCCAGGGCAGCTGTTACAAATAATGCTGCTCGTATTGTTGCCATGGGAACAGGACCCAGATGGTCCCCTACGCTGCCCAGAATGCAGGACGCCTTCTCTGCTGCAGGGTTTGGTTTATACTTATCTGCAGGTCGGCAGACTTTCTCTGTAAAGCACTAGAGTAGTATCTTGGGGTCTGCGGGCCACATGATTGCTGTTAGAATCACTCCACTCTGCCAGCAGAGCATGACAAGCTGCCAGGGACAACATAAAAACGGATGGCAGAGCCGTGCTGCCAAAAACGAACAACAAAGCCCAAAAACTTACCCAAAAAAGTGGGCAGCAGGCTGGATTTGGCCCTCGGGTTGTAGTTTGCAGATCTCTGACCTCGAAGAAAGGAACTGCTCTCTGAAATTCTGAAAATTCCACTTCTGGGAAGAGCATGCAGTGGACCAGCCTTAAGTGTCAGCTCCGGTCTCTGCTGGTATAATTTTTAGGGCATTTTGGCCAAAGCCTGGAACCTGTTATGATTTCTGTGCCAAAGGAGGACGAGGCCACTACAGCTTATCAAGGAAAGTAAGCTGTCCTGTGGACCTAAGGGGCCTCTGTGCCAAGGATCCTCGTGGCTACCACTTTGTACTTCCAATTCTGTATTACCAGATGCAGCAAAAAGTGGTTACAAGTGAGCTCTTCAGGGGAAAGAAAGAAGGTTATGCAGAAGTCTTAAGCCATCCCTTTGCCAACAGTCGGATCGGCAAGTACATTTTTCCATCTGTGCACTCGCTTCTATTTTAAGAGTTGAAAGAAGGTGCCTGACTCCGTAGCATGTCCTGACCGTAGCTGAGATCTTGGGTCACAGAGGGGCGTAAACCCAGCAGATACCAGTGGCTTTTGGCACCAACATGGTATTTAGTGACGATTGCTGTGCTCTGGTTCCCTCCCCAGATGAAGGAGACATTAATCCCAAAGTGCTTCAACTCATTAGCAATGAGAAAATCCAGGTGAGGAAACGTGGGTCCTTGGGTCCAACAGGATTCCCTTAACAAGGTCTGCTTTCTGTATGAAGAGTGTCTGGAAGCACTGTTGAAATGCAGGGGTGCATGTGGGTGGGCTGGGCTCTCGACTGTAATGCTCTGGGTATTAACGAAGACTGTGGGGCCCACGTGACCACTAGGTACCTATTGCTGTTCTTACGGTCCTTATCTATCACCCTAGAAACTGGGTTCGGTTTTCTTTCTTTTTAAAACGATTTTATTTATTTGAGAGAACACGAGCAGGGGGGAGGGGTAGAGGGAGAGGAAGAAGCAGACTCCCCGCCGAGCAGGGAGCCCGATGCGGGACTCGATCCCAGGACCCCGGGATCATGACCTGAGCCGAAGGCAGATGCTTCACCAACTCAGCCACCCAGGTACCCCATAGGTTTGGTTTTCTATGAAATTGAGCGAAATGCAGCTGAACACCCCCTATTAGAAGTGGTGTGGCAGGGTGCCAACACGGGCTTCGTAACTTAGCTGAGCGCCATCTGGGCAGGTTCCTTAAGCTCTTGCTGCCTCTGTCCTTCTGTGAGTGGGGATGGTGGGGATCTTGAGAGGCCAAAGCAGTCGATGGTGGGAAGCGCTGTATGGTAATACCAGTTCATCTGAGCCTCTCTCTGTTTGAGTGCTTGAAGTAACTGGTCTTAGCAGTCTGGGGTAACAAGGAACTCCGTACTCCGCCCTGTCCCCCCACGGGGTCACCTTGCTCTCCTTGCAGTATGGTATCCCGGTCATTAAATATGACAGGAAAGGCTTCAAGGCCCGGCAGCGCCAACTCCTCCTGACTCAGAAAGCAGCTTACGTGGTGGAGCTTGCCAAAATCAAGCAGAAAATAGAATACTCAACACTCAAAGGTAAGAAGCAGGCTGTCTTCAGACCATTCACGGGGCGGATGTAGCTCCCGGGGAACACCCGTAAGGAAGGCGCCCTCTACTAGAAGACAGAGTGTAGGGTGCCCAGAAAGCCTGGGGCTGCCTGGGCCTGGCCTGGGCCTCTTTTTTCTGGCATAAATGAAAGCGGCCGCCCCTTCCCCCAGGTTGGACAACAGTCACCTTCTCCGATGACCTGTGTTTTATTCCGAGCGCAGCCCTTCACAGCCTCCTAGCATGCTGACTGCTGGGGTGTGCCCTTCCTCCGCCTCTTTTTTCTGCATGAATGTCAAGTTGTCCAGTTCCTGGTCCCTAACTCTGGGGTCTGTCCTAAGGTGTCTCTACTAGCAGCCTCAGTGATGGCATCTTGGTCATTCACGTCTCACCAGAGGACCACAAACAAAAGGTAAGTGATGGCCACCCGTGCCTGCCGGAGGAGGGAGACCCTGCCGTGCTACTGAGCTGCCTGCTGGGAAGCCTCCGTCCAGAAGAGTAATTTTCTTCGAGGCCGTGGCCTCTGAAACTGCCACGTCCTCTCCTCGTCAGGGGGATACCATCTTACAGTGTGAGCACGTCTTCGAAGCAGTCACGAAGCTCGTCATGCTGCTCAAGAGGGGGAACGTGGTGAATGTCGCTCAGGGAAGGTAGGGGCTTTCTTCGGCGATCGCCCGTTCACCAAGGCAGCCGGGGGCTTGCGGCCCAGTTCTCCAAGGAGGGCCTGCCATCCCTGGGGGGAAGCTGTTGGCCAGAGGAAGGTGGCCCTCCGGGCCAGGGCAGGTGACAGCCACACCTTTCGCTGGTTGAGGCCTGTTGTCTGAGCACCATGGGCCACAGCTTGGCAGGCTGCTTACCACACTGATGAGAGGACAGCAGTAACCTTTAGGATGTAGAGGAAAAAGACTTAGCACAGAGGGTGCTCTTACTCGAGTCTCTCATCTCTGAAGGAGGGGCCATGTTTTCAGTTTCACGGGCACAAGGTGGCTGAGCAGTGGGCCCCGTGTCAGCTGGCTGGTCAGAGACGGTGTGGGGGTTCCTGGGGCTGAATCCCGGAGGCTCCCGGACCCCCATACAAGCAGCCTGCCTCCCTCCCCGCTCCCGCTGCTCCTAGTGGGTCTCAAGCCACTGTAGGCAAATTCCTATGTGCAAGAGGGAGAGAGAGTGGGGAGCGCTCCCCTGAGGGGGAGACCTGGCCACCCCGTGAGCGTTTCAGCAGGACCATACGTAGGTGGTTCTTCAGATGGCAGACTGGCCCCCTGAAAAACTGAATATGCTAAGTTGATTTGAGAACAGCCACAGAAACATGGGGTAAGTTTCCCAGTTGTGGCAATGGTTGTCTTTTGAGGACTCAAATGTGCACTAAAACTCTGTAATAATACAAACGGGAATTTGATCTCGAAGCTAGTAAAGTCTCGTAAGTGAATTTCTTTTGTAGACAGAAGGTGAAAAATAGAACGTCAGTAATTGATTACTTGGTGTGTTTTCAGTTTACAGTTTTGTATCAGTCCTGGAAAAAAAGGCACGATAGTTTTCAACACAGGACCGGAAGAACTAATCTATAAAGATAAAAACGGCCAGTTAACAGTGGTGAGTGGCTGTGGCGGGAGGGGAGTTTTCCTGAGAATATAGATGAAAATGTGACCATTTTCAACCCTCCTCTAGACTTTTCACGTCTCCCTCTAGTCCCGATTCTACGTCAAAACAACAGGAAGGTATTGATGCCAAAGACACACATTCACACACGGGAATGAGAGGGTTTGAAGAAAGCAAATTTACCTCCCATTTCTAGTTGTTAGTGAACAGGATGGTGACGTTAAATATCTCCTCGGTTTTAAATGCCGAAGCCAATTTTTCACTGGAGGGCCAAGGCCTAAGGCTCTCCCAGCGAGCTTCCGAACATACCTGGTCCGGAGTCTCGGCCCTGGACGCTGTGCTGTGACTGGCGGGCGTGTGGCCTGGGCTTTGCAATGGGAGCCGTGTCAGGTCCGAAGAGCAGAGCTGACCGCTGTCTGGTGCAGTCCAGGCTGGGTGCTCGGTGCTTAGTCCTCCCTGCCAGTCCCACTGTGCTGGGCCGGGCATCCCACAGCTCTCACTGGCCATGTAGTACACCGGGCTTAGTTTGATCCCATTTTGCTAGGAAATGACAGATTAAAACCTGAGGGGGCTGAATCCCTCAGATGTATTTTGTAGGTGCACCCAGTTTTATCTGATACAAACGAATGAGCAGTCTGCCAATATATGGGGTGTCTCATACATACTTCCATTTGCATCCCCTTAACTGTGAAACTGTCTTTGTGGGTGTAAATAGGACCCCAAAGGCTTTCATAACACAATTGCCCCTGAACTCCTTCAGGGAGAAGATAAAATCTTGAAGTATCATTTCAGATGTAACCTATCAGGTGACTTTTCAGTTTATATGCTGTCTTAGGCGGGTATAACCTTTAAGAATGATTTTGTCTTGGGAGTCACACGGCTTGTCTGCCTGACTGGCTAGAGCTGAAAATGCTAAGCAGCCTCATGGAGTCCTTTTGTAAATGCCCTTTGTCTCGGCGGCAGGTGGGGCTGGCTTCTAGAAGCTCGTCTGCACCGCTGCTGGGTCATGAAGGGTCTCTAACCTAAGTGTGGGCGCTCTCCCAAGGTGTCGGTCCGCACGAAGTCCTCTTGACCTCGCCCATGGCCATCTCTGTTCCGGCTGAGGAAAGCACCGAGGAAGCGGGAGGCTGTCCAAGGAGCTACACCTTCAAGGCAAGAAGTCCCAGCAGCTCTAGGCAAAGGAGCACCTCTGAAGAAACTGAGTGGCATCTGCCCATCTCCCGGGTCTCAGCAGCACTGGGGCATTAAAGGAAAAGGTCCTCTTCAGGGGCCCAAACAAGTCACCTGCGGGGATGGGTTTCAATGTCCCTACCTGGTCCTTCCCTCAATGGGTACTTGAACATGTCATTATAGGGTGGGCAACAGATCCTCTACCTTTGTCAAGCTGCCCCTGAGGAACAATTTGATAAAGCTGCAAATTTTGGATTTTGCTTTAACTAAATGGAACTTAGGTGCTTTGGGTTCCAGATGGGGAGCTGTAGCAGAAATGTTAAGGCCTTGGGTGTGTTTGTTTCTTGTCCCGGCCCCCCGCCTTCCCTTGTATTAAAGCAGCAGCAACCCCAGCTGATTCACTCTGCTTTCCACCTAAGACTTCCTTACAGTGTTTACTAGAACAATGACCCCCGCCGTCCCCGGAGACTTCAAGGTGCTAAAGCACAATGACTGGAGGATAGAGGCCTTGCTCTCTCTCTGAACCCCCCTCGCACTGGCTGGATCGTGCTGGGTGTTTCTGCAGAGCAACCAGAAAACATTTAAACAGAGGCATTACGTAACTTTTATTTTACACGTCCACAAATGCTTGTACAACAGACAGTGACTACTTCTAACGTTTATAGCATTTTTTTCACAGCACGAAAAGCAAGCTTAGGGACACAGGTGTGCCACAGGCCCGCTGGGTGGGGCACACATGTGGGTCCCGAGCAGCCACTGGGTGTGGCAGGCGAGCCCACCTACGTGGAGCGCGGGCTCCCTGCACCTCGGCCACGCTGCTCATGTGCTACCTACCGGAAGGGGGGGGGGAGGCAACAGAAGAGGCTACTCCAGGATTGTCTCGGGCACAGGCCCCCAGTCACCACAAAGAAGGACTTCTTTGAAAAAAGCTGTTCTACTTCAACTGTAAGCGCTTACAGTGTAATAAAACTTAACTCTTTACCAAATCTTAGGCCAGTGTTTTACTTAGATGGTTCTTAAGTATAAATATGGACCTTTGTTTGTTTGCCCTTCATGCTAGCATAAAAATCGGTTCCTTGTGCAATACGTTTGCTAGCAGAGCTTGGACCGGCCACCACTTGCTGTCCGCCCCCGGCTGTGCAGCTAACCCTTCACCACGGGATGTTTCGGGACCCTGTTCAGATCCCAGGAAAGCAAAGACTCAAAATGACAAGTGTAGAGACTGCCAGAAACATTAGCTCATACGGTGTAGAAGCCCGAACGACTCCGATTGTTCCACAAACTTACTCTCCACAGAAAGATTTAAAAAACAATTCATATGATGGCTTTTCCATTCCTACAGAAAACATCACAACTGACATTCACTTTAACTTTCTAAAAAAGTTCAACCCAAACGTCAGGGTTGGTGTTTAAAACTAAAACGGTATATAAAATATTTACCAAACAGTATTTAAACCCCCCTTTCCTTAGCACTTAATAAAACCCGAATGGCCTAATATAGAAAGTACCCCACAAAACAGTTTAAAAGGCATCGACACCCCCCATACATGATTTTTTAGGTTCAGTCACGATTGTTTTTAAGTTTTATGGTAGGCTCTGCTGCTGGATACAAAATAAAGGCATACAACTGTCCCAAGAAGGGCAGTATGTACAAAGCCTAAGCTGTAAAAACCGTTTCAAAATATAAACTTGTTTTTTGGAATACACTGTGTCAAAGGCTGCCCACCTCAATACCTTTGGTATAAAACAGTAACATTTCCCTTGAAGAGCAGACAAATGCCATCCATTACCTTACACACGTTCACATCTCCTTGTAACTACTCTACCTAGTCTAGTCGCGACCAGCAACATCAGTCACCACTCACTTCTGTCCCTTCCCAGGCGCAGAGGAGACTGGGAGGTAGATAACCGAGAACGTCCGTCCGACACGAGCATTGTGCGGACAGCTGGGCTCCAGCGCGGGCCCCCCTGCGCCCCACAAGCACACATCCCCATCTACAGTCACACACGTCCCTTAAACACGAACACAAACACTTAGCTGGACCCCAAAGGGGCTGCACATCCTCTAACTTGGCTCGCTGTGGTCACTCCACACTGTGTAAAAACCAGAGGCAAAGACACAAAGGCGGTCTCGGGGTGATGGCGGCGTCTACAGCAAGCAAGCTGCCCCAAGACTGCTCGTGTGAATGGGCTTCCTGCCTGGATGCCAGGCTGGGGGACAGAGGCCAGGCCACTTCCACTTTCTAAGCGAAGGGCAGGGCTTCTACTTGAGACAGGAAGCCCAGCTTAACAGGGAAGAAGGCTGAGGAAGAAAGAATGGAGCACGGGAAGTGGCGGTGTGTGAGCTCCACCCATAACCAGGCGTTGGTCAATAAGGGAGGGCAAGTGGAAGGGGCAGGAGGTAGGGAAGGAGCCGGGAAAAGTGCACTCCCTGCCAGGGCCAGCTCTGCCCTTAGCCAGGCATGTGGGGGTCCCAACAGGCCTGCCCCTCCAACAGAGCCGGGTCTCCAGAGCTATGCTCTAACAGTCAGAGGCATGGAGCTCATCGGTCCTATCTTCCGTGCCACAAACTGCAAGCATCTGCCAACAAGCCAGGGGGCGAGATCCTGGGGCCGAATGGACTTCCGGCAAAGCCCCGGAGATGGCCCGGTCTAACGCACAGGAACGCAGCCAGCGTGCGGGGCCGGAGGATTATGAAACAAGCAGCTCAGGGAAACCTCTGGTGGCCGCCAACTGCAGGATCCCTCTTCCAGCGCTCAGACAGAACCCTGAAGGAATGCCGCCCCAAAGCCCGAATAGGTAGTCAGCACCCATCAAAATAAATACTGCAAACAAAATTTCTCACATCTACTTCATACCCATTCATACTTTTCTCCGAGAACCAAGAAAGCCTGGCTCCAAGGATTCTCAGATCCCCACGGGAAGGGGAGACCTTGGACACAGCTTGCTCAAGAACAGGGGTGCATTCACCTGGGGAAAGACAGTCACCTCGTCGAGAAATACCAAAATAATCTGGCTTGTTACAAAAAAAGTATCTCCAGACTCCAGGGGAAGTGGAAGGTGCCCAGGAGGCTGCAGGCATCGGAGTGAAGAGCAGGGGAGAGGGGAGGAGGAGGGCGGCTCGCCTGCTTGCTCACTGGTGGAGGTGGGCCCGGTCGTCCGGACGCTTGATGTGGATCCGCCGCACGCGCTCGATCCGCTCCCGCTCTCGCTCCTCGTCTTCATCCAGGTGATGGGAGCGGCCAGCCGCCCCACCTGTGGCCTCCAGGAGTGCGTTGTCAGGTCCTCGGCCGTCCTGGGCCTCGTACAACAAAATATTGAGGGTCTCCTCATAAATCCGGGCCTCTGGGAACTCCACCTGCAACCCCACAACAAAACACAAGGCAGGTAAGTTAGCATCACACCCGCCCCCCCCCCCACCTCTGCTGCCACCTGCTACTTCTGGGAAGGGCCCCTGGCTCGATCAGGCCCCTGGCATTCCTTTTAAGACTGCCATTATTAGTTTTACAGTAGCTTTTATTTACAACAGGCAATACTTACACGTGGTGCTTACACAAGAAACAAAAGGTATACAGTGTCTATAAATGTAGGATCACATATATTCACCTATATATTCACACCTTTATATTCCCCTATATATTCACACACTTTAAAATGCACAAAAGGTGGCCCCTCACACACTCCTCTGCACCTTTTGCTTTCCCCTAACTTGGGAGATCCTTCCATAGCAGGGAATTACAACAATGTAACAATGCAATTAACCAATGAGGTCGTTTCCAAAAGGTTTCTACTAACAATAGATCTATACCCCTAGAGCTGCTCCATAACCTCGAGCAGCCTTTAAAGCAGCCCCATTTTTTTGAACAGGGACCAGCTGAAAAGGACATGACCCCTCCTGCTTGGTAAAGTTCGGTGTCCGCTGCTTGTCCTTCGGGGTTAAGGCACTGGGAACTGGAGGGAGGCTGTCCAAGTGGGCCCCGGGCACTTGACTCACAGAGTAGAGACTTTGCTTTCAAAGGCAGGATTCTGAGGTTCCCAGAGAAATGGAGGCAGCACACTCTCCTCTGTCTTTCCTACTGAGACCACAAAACCAGGAGAGAGAATGTGCAGCGGCTGAGGACTGAGCGACATGAATCGTGGCAGACGGGGCGGGGGGAAAAGACCAGTTTGGAATAACCCCTAACCAGCAGAGAGTTTCCTGCCCCGAGGTAGGTCAGGGCAGCCTGCAACCCCGGAACAAGCAACAGCACAGAAAGCCCCAGGGGGGCACCAGCGTCTCCCAACACCTAGAGAGTTCCAGGTTTTCCTTTTTTCTTTTCTCCATTCTCTTGCACTCCCACCCCCCAAAAATCTTGTGGCAGCAAAGGCCAGAGCCTGGGGGAGTCAAAACTCTGAAGGGGAACCTTCCTTTCTGATGAGGAGAGCTGTGGTCCCATCAGGGTGGAGCAAATCCCTGCTGTTTTTCTCTCCCTTCTTCACGCCACTTGGCTCCAGGTACAGGTCAAGTCACGGGCAGTGTGCGGCAGAGCGGGGACCTGAGGCCCCAGCTTTCTGGCCAGATGACAGGAAAGGGGAGCCCCAGGGAAGCAGGAAGCACCAAAAGATGACAAAGGACAGGTGCCTGGGAAAGCAGCTTCTTGAGGTTGTGCGTGAACTCCTGGGCTTGAGCCCAGCTGTCAACCTGTCCCTCAAGAGCACACACACAACTGAGCAATGGCACAGACTGCTACCCGGGACACAGACCTGCCCTCAGTGCGGCCCAGATCTGAAGGCTTTGAAACCTGGGCTGTCACTGGCCCTGCGACCCACAGCTGGTTGGAACTTGTGGCCCAAACCCAACTGGGTCAACTGCCTGCTAAAACAAAAAAAATCAATGTTCTCATTAGGATTTAAACAAGACCTAGAGCCCTGTAACATTCAGAATATCCAGAGTACAATTCGAAAGTTCCTGGCATAATGAAGAACCAGAAAAATCTCAACTCCTGAGGGAAAACGTAATCAAAAGATACCAATGCCAAGTCCAAGATGACACAAGATGTTGGAATTATCTGACAGAGACTTGAAAGCAGCTGTTATAAAAATGTCCCGATAAGGAAGGGCAAACTTTCTTAAAGCAAATGCAAACACAGGAAGTCTCAGCAAGGAGACAGAACATCGAAGAAAGAAATGAAAACCGTATGACTGAAAAATATAGTAACCAACAGCAACACAAAAACAAAAAAAAACCCCAATTCACTGGCAGCGTTCAATAACCGAATGGAGATGACGGAGGAGAGTCCGTGAACTTGGAAGACACAGCAACAGAAGTGATACAATCTGAACAAGAGACCAAAAACAGACCAATAAAGGGCGTGGTTCTGTGCTCTATTCTCACCGAGTCCCTGGTGAGTCAGAATCAAGAACCAAATGGACAACATATGTGTTACATATCTACTTAAGCCTTACTTTCAGCAAGCCATACCTTTTCCAGCTTAACCACAGAAGACAGTTAAATGATTAAAAGAATTAGCAGAGCACCTGGAATGTTGTATCAAGAAAGACAGCGATACAAAAACCCCCAGCAGGAACATCCGCCCCGTTACTTGAAACAACAAAACACAAGTGTTGGCTCCAAAGCATGGCTCCTGACGGTGTTGGCCAGAAGAAGGCACCTGCTCGTGTAAGGGCAGCCATCCCCTGACGTGAACCCCCTGGAAAGCCAGTCACATGCCTTCCCTGGAGCAAGGAAGAAGCCCTTGGGGACAGGATGGCAGAGCAAAGGGGGTCGTGGCTAGGGGCCATGGCCTGCCAGCCGGGGCCCCACCTCCAGCCAGTTTCAGAAACGCCCAGAAACCTGTGGGCTAACCTACAAATGGCTGGGATCAGACTGTGTGGTCTCTGAATCCTTTGCTCCCTGTTAAACTCTGAAAATGTAAAGTAGTATTTTAAAGCTTTAATCAATATGACGATTATCCTGTTAATATCCAAAGACAAAGGCAACCCGTGTATATAACAAAACCAAACTGACAAGACAGGGAAGCTAGTTACAGGTGGAATTCACAGCCCTAAAAAAAGCTCACAGGAGGAAAGAGGTGTGCGTCTTGCTAATGTGGTAAAGGGAAGCAGGCGATTCTAGTCCCCCTGCAATCTTTGAAAAAAGGAGGAACCTCAGGGTTTTTCCCTTCTTGGCTCTCTTAAACCAATACCTATCTTTTGGGATATATTCTAAATACCAATGATAAAATGTTTTTAAAGTTTAAAAAAAAAATGCTAAGAACTCTGGTTTCTACGTTGTGGTCTCATTTTCTCTCATTTGCCTTTTCTTCTGAGACCAGCTCTAGAATCACAGAGAACTGTGTGTTCCTGGAGCCACACTGATGATGGTAGCCTGACTGGATGATCTACAGATTCGTGCGTGAAAATCTGCTCAGCAGACCCACCGCATGTCCCTGGTAATCAGGGTCCCTTTATCAAGGTTCAGAGGGAAGTGACAAAGTGTATCGTAGGATTTTTTTTTTTTTTTAAAGAGGAAGAAAACTGAGTTGCATAGCCCAAGAAGGGCAAGCAAGCAGAAGATCTGAAGGGACCAGATCTCCGACAGCACCCTGTGGCATGATCTAGCTTCCCAGAATGGCACAGTGACAGAGGTCAAGTCTGTTGGTTTGGAGAAGATGACAGAGAAGTGCATCCAGAGTCCAGATCTGTCAGGAAGTTGTGTGCTCAGAAGGAAGCCAACAAGCCTGGGAGCTAAGGAATGCCCAGCAGGCCCATGAGGGTGGAGGGCCACTCCAGGTCAGTGGGCCAGAGGAGGACAGACAGGTGGCAGTAAGTCGTAGATCATGACTAGAAAGCCAAGGTCAAGCTCTTAAAGGTAGCATGGTCCCTCTGATGACTGAGATGGGCTGGGGCCATGCTGGCGGGAAATGGTGGTACACGGAGGGTGAGGGGCAGCATAGGGCCATGTCCCGTCACTGACAGGAGACAAGGCTGCTGGCACGAGGACAGCGGTCTGAGGATACACCTGAACTTTTTTCTTTGTAAGGTTTTGTTTTGTTTAAGATTTTATTTATTTATTTAATAGAGAGAGCACACAAGCAGTGGGAGCGGCAGGCAGAGGGAGAAGCAGGCTCCCCGCCGAGCAGGGAGCCCGATGTAGGGCTCCATCCCAGGACCCTGGGACCACGACCCGAGCCGAAGGCAGATGCCCAACGACTGAACCACCCAGGCGCCCCTAAGGTTTTGTTTTTAAGTAGCCTCTACACCCAACATGGGGCTCGAACTCAGGACCCAGAGATCAGGAGTTGCACACTCCAGCGACGGAGCCAGCCGGGCGCCGCTCTGAATCAGCATTTATGGCAAAGGGACTGAGGTGCAGTAGGACTGTCCCTGTTTGCGAATGGTCAGAAAGGAAATGCCATTCTGCTTCTCCGAGACCTAGATGTGACTCTCCCCGGGGCCCCGAAGATAATGAGTATTTTCACAATGAGCAATCAGGCATCAAGGAAAGCATTTTTAAAGCCTTTCCCTTTTGCTCCAGGGGAAAGGGAAGCGGTACAAGAACGCATTTCAGACCAGCCACCCAGAGCCGCCCGTCGGAGCTCTGACCTTGGTCTGTTTCTTCTCAGTGGCATAGACGATGGAGGTGCAGCAGACCTCGGCAATCTTGCGGCCCTGACCGTAAAAGGACCAGCAGCAGATTTCGTCCCCAATGACGTCCTTTATGAACAGGACCCTTCCGTTAAAGCGCAGAGACAGCTTATCAAAGAGCTCAATGTTTTTCAACATATTGTCGTCAGAATTGCTGCAAAAGAGCATTTGAGAAGGTGAGTGTCTCCCCCTCCCAGGCTAGGGCGGCCGCTCTGCTGGGCTCTGCCTGGGCCGGGGAGGAATCAGGAATGACTCGGGGCCCGTGGGCACGGGCATCAGGTCTGGAGCGTGGAGGGAGCCCCGTGAGCCCCGGGAGTGGCAGAATGCAACTGCCCAAGGGAGACTTTCCAACTTGGGTCCATTTATGGGTCTTGAGGAACCTCATTAAACCCCTTACAGCTGAGACCACATGGTCCCAAGAGCCAGAAGACATCTAGAAACCTGTATATACTGCTGGTGGGAATGTAAAATAGTGCAGCTGCTTTGGAAAAACAGTTTGGCAGGTCCCCAAATGACTAAACCTAGAGTTACCATTGGACCCAGCAATTCCACTCCTAGGTACCCCCCAAGAGAAAAAAAAAAACCTCGGTCCACATAGAAAATGTGTATACAGATGTTCACAGCAGTATTCACACTGGTCCCAAAGTGGAAACAACCCTGAATGTGCATCCACTGGTGAATGGATCAACAAAATGCAGCAAAGATCCACACGATGGGATACTAGTCAGCTATAAAAGGGCAGATGGATATTGATCCACACGCCACAACAAGGATGAACCTTGCCAACATGATGCTAAGTCAAAGAAGCCAGTCACAAAGGCAAGGTATTACATGGTCCCATTTCCATGAAGTGTCCAGTGGGCAGACAGCCGTGTTTGCCAAGGGTCGGGGGCAGGGGGTGTGTGTGTGTGCTGGGGGGAATGAAGAGTGACTGCTAACGGCTTTCTTTCTGAGGTGATGAAAGTGTCCACAAAGCAGGCATGTGATGATGGCTGAACAGCTCTGTCAATCTGCTGAAGCCCACTGAATTATATACTTCAAAAGGACAGCCTTTATGGTATGTGTGAATGCGATCTCATTACCTATCGTCTGTCTCCCTGGGCATCCTCGAGGTGCAGAGGGCCACCCTCACTGGAAGATAAGAGGAGGAGCCCCCCTAGCTGATGTGGGGCGGCCCTTCCCGCTGACACCTACCTGGTGTACGAGTACTTGTTGTTACTCCTGTTGTACAGCAGCTTCACGGCTGGCTGACGGCGGTCATAAAAAAGAAAGAAAAGAGTCACTTGGGGTGGAGGGACCGTGGCCTGGGGCCTGGGCCCTGCCACCAGGTCAAGGAGGCAGCTGAACACAGCTGTCAGACTGGGGGAAGGGGGTGGGCAGGGGCAGAGAGGGAGACTGCAGGACCCACAGCTGGGGTGGGGGGGGGCCACACAAGATGAGCTGCAGGCTCCCATTCTTCATCCCTCCTCAGGCCTTGCTCAGGCACTTCTATAGGTCTCTATTTCAAACCTTATTCATCATTTGGGTAGCTAAAGAAAGGCCATAAGAGTGTCTCCAACATACCTTATTGGAAGTCGCTATAAGTTTCTGCTCTTCCTTGGATGAGGTGATGACAGGAACTTTGCAGAAAGGCTCGTAAGTATCTTTGTTCTGCTGGAACAAAACATACTTTCAGCCTAGGAGGCCTGCCCAGCATCGGATTATTTAAGCTGGCCTGCAGGGCAAAGACAGGGCTCTGGCGAGGGAAGATGGGGCTGCCAGCACTGGGAAGAGAGGAGGATTCTTACCACCAGTGAATTAGGGTGGGGGTCGGCCAAGAGTCGAGTTCTCCAGTAAGTCTGCTCTTTGGCCAGGGCGCTCAATAAATCCTAACAACGATGACACACTTCCACAGCCCAGGGAGTCACTTAAAAATAAACTCTAAACATGGCAGATGAAGTATGATCGCATCGAAGCACCCCACTGCAACAACTGTAGAAAGAACTTAAAAAGTATAAGCCTAGAAGGAGAAAAAGAATGGGAGAAGTGAGGTCTACAGACAAAAGATGTCAAAAACCTGAAGCTTTCGGGGAAGAAGATGAGGGCTAACTGAGCGGAAAGAGAAGGCGGAAACGAGTAAGCAGATGGGAAAGAATCCTGGAGGTTTTCAAACAGTTCTGAAGGCTGGTGGGCAGAGGGAAAGAGCAGAGGCTTGCCAGCCAGTCAGCAAAAGCCTCAGTGAGACACCCGCTCCCCCAAATGGATCCCCTTCCCCAGGCAGAAGAAAGGTCTGCTTTCCTAGAGTGGTTTGTAAGATGAGGACAGGGCTGAGCTACTCTTCTGAAAACAGGGGGATTAAGTGAATGGTCCACATACTAAATGGTGAGCCCCAGCTCCCAGCCCCTTCTCCTACTCAAGTAGATCCCAGAAGGCAGCCAGCCAGGCTTATCCCCACCAGGCAAGAGAGTGGAGGATTCCTCCATAGGAATCTGATCTGTCCAGGAAAAGGCTTATTATAGATTCTGACACGGGGGGTTCCCACTAAAGAGCCTTATCAGCCACTGGACAACAAGCCTCACCCACGCACATACAGCTTTTCAGAACTTTACTCTTGAATTTTAACAGACCAAAGATCATCAGATTATATGTGGAAAGCCTCTCAACCATGAGACTGAAACCAAAATATAGAGAAAAAGGGAAGGAGTCATGACAAGGGCAGCAGAAAGAAAACTTCAAGACAGAGGAGAGCAGATACTGAATCCTAGGAAACAAGAGCAGTGTTCTATATAAAAAAGAACACTCAGAAAACATGAAAAGGCTCTTGGAAATTAGAAATATGATAGCAGAAATGAAAAGTTCAAAAGAAGGGCTGAGAAGATAAAACTGAAGAAAATCTCTGAGAAAGTAGATAGGAAGATAAAAGCAACAGAAACTGCGAAGAGGTCAGTCCTGAAGGTTCGATCTTAAGACTAAGAGAAACCATAGGAAGGGAACCCAGAGAGCTTGTCTCTAAGACAAAGAAGGAACAGATATTCACTGGTGTGTCTGAACACACCAATAGGAGATGAACTTTCTTACCATTTAGGGATGAATTATGGATATGCACTTACAAAACCAAGCAGACAAAACAATGAGGCAATCACTAACTCTGGAAAACTGAAACGTTGCACAATAAAGAAAATTTTCACTGTGTACTCTGTGACTCAACTGTTAACAATACTTATACATCACAATGTAAACTCTGAATACTGATTTAACCAAAGCTGTGATAAACACTATATTGGGAAAAGAGGAGAAGGAACATGTGTACATGTCTGGTAGTGGTTGGGGGGCGGGGTGTAGCGGTAGTGCATCAGCTAAATATTAATTTTCTATACGCTAGTACATAATGTTGAAAACTGAAATATCAATAAATAGCAGTATAAGAAATATGAAAGCAAATAGAATTGTTGGGAATTAACAGAGGAGGGGCGCCTGGATGCCTCAGTAAAGCATCCAACTCTTGATTTTGATTCATTTTTATTTTATTTTTTTTTAAAGATTTTATTTATTTATTTATTTGACAGAGAGAGAGCAAGCACAAGCAGGGAGGGCAGCAGGCAGAGGGAGAGGGAGAAGCAGGCTCCCCACAGAACAGGAAACCCGATGTAGGGCTCAATCCCAGGACCCCAGGATCATGACCTGAGCCGAAGGCAGACGCTTACTGACTGAGCCACCCAGGTGCCCCTTGATTTCGATTCAGATCATGATCTCAAGGTGGTGAGATCGAGCCCCATATCGGGCTCTGCACTCGGCATGGAGTCTGCTTGAGATTCTCCCTCTCCTTCACCCATCCCCCTCAAATAAATAAATAAATAAAATCTTAAAAAAAAAAGAACAAACAGAGCAAAAAAGTACGATGTATATACATTACTTTAACAAACAAAAATGAAATAAAAATACTAAGGCAAAGGCTATATGGCATTCAGTTAGATTTACAGTGAGTTCAGACTCTTGGGGTAGAGGTGGTATGTGGAAACAACAGTTCCTCACGGAGCTAGGCAGTAAGAGTACTGCTCCAGCGGAGGGCCAGACAGACACGTGGCCTGAGGGAGGCACAAACAAGAGCCTCAGATATACAGATCCAATTCCTACGAAAACCTAAAGGGACTCTTACGATTCTCTGCCATGTCGGAACTTTGCTTGAAATAAATGGCCACTGGCTATGTCCAGAAGCATTTTGGTTTTATAGGGATTTTGCTATCACCAAACTTGACCCCAATGGTCCTGCCCTGGGTCCAGCTGAGGAGTGAGGGGTGTCTGAGTCTGCAGAGATTATATGAGGCTCCCAACAATGACTGGTGGGGTGAGAATAAGTCCTGAGATGCGTCCAGAAAACGGATTCCCTACACTGAAGGGTTTCAATGTACATATGAAATGACCCAACACCATGGCAACCGAAAGCCAGAGGGTAGCTAGGTGGCCTCAGCATTACAGGGAAGCCTCTAAGGGGTCACTGACCGAAGGAGAGAGAAGATCCAGGGTTACTTGTGAACTCGCACATCTCAGTGAGGAAGGAACTGCCCCCATTTTGTAGAAGAGGAAAATGAAGAAAGCAGGTTGCCTGGTACCTCCCCACTCATATGGGGAAAAACGGTGATACCTACTTGTAAGGCTGCCTGGCATTCTTCCACCAGGCCCTGGACCAGGTAGTACTTGGCTTCCGCCAGTAGCTCCTCAATCTCCCGGCGGCTCTCGGGCAAGGGGACCGCCCCGTCACGGAGGTAGTTGAGTATCGTACCAAAGTGTTTCCCACACCGGTCAATAAGGATCCAGCCTGCAATGGGAGGAGGAGAAGGGAGGCCTAGTTACATGGGCACTCATCTCCTGGAAGGTGCTAAGGACAAATGGGGTATCTCTTGGCTCCCTCTACCTCCGGGGGAAGAGCAGGACCACAGAGGGGGCAGCAGCCCCACCTGCCTAGCTACCAGCAAAGGGCTAAGCCCTGCCTGGAAAAGCACTGCAACGCTCTCCAGGCCCTGCTGGCTGGGGATAACCACAACCACAACCACGGACTCATGTGGTCTCAGGCTCTTTTGGATGCCAGGACCTCTGAGGCCTAAAAGCATGTTTGTAAAGTGTCCTCAAAAATCCCTTAGCCATCCCGAGAGTGCACTATACCTGGATAAAATGGGTCCAAACGACCACACCCCAACAACAGGGGAAAAGCCAGAGGTAAAAGTATCTACTCTCCCTCTTTCCACGATGCTTTTTTCAGATTTCCACATAATAGAGCCATTTCTAAGGAAGAAGACTGCAACCTCTGGCTCCCAAAGGGGATCCCCAACACTCACCACTACCACCTCGGGATGTTCCTTCCTTCACTTCCCCAAAAAAGCACTTACTGGCTAGTGACAATGACGAGAGAGAAGATGGTGAACCAGACAGACCTTGCCTCAGGCAGTTCAGTCTAGCATGGGGAGATGGAACTTGCTTTCATGAACTATGGGAAAATGTGCCAACTGCTGACCAGAATCAGGCACAGCGAGACACTCTTGGGGGTGGGGGCCAGGAAGGCAAGCCCTTCAGCTTGATGACCTCTCCAATCTGGGGACTGGCCTGCTATACCCCCACTAGGGATCCCCAGGTTTTCACAATTCCTCTTCAGAAATGGAAATATCTGGGGGGGGGGCGGGGTTGTTACTTGCAGGAGGAAACAATGCTGAAGCCTGGGAAGTGGAGGGACCGAAAGGAGAGGTAGGGATGAAGCAAAGACCTGGTTATGTCTTAACAGAGGACAGGAGGCTCTAGAAAGAAGTCAGGTTGTAGAGAAGTCCCCGCCTCTCCCAGGCCAGCAGGGCAACCCCAGCAAGGGGCTTCCCCAGGTCTCCTATCCCCATTACAAGGTGAGAGGACACCAAGGCACAGGGCAGTTAAGTTTAAACAGGAATCTGTAATTTTATGCCTCACTTTCCTCAACAGTTGCTCAGTTTGGGAGAAGGGGCCCACACTTCCACTCCTAACACCATGTCACCCTGCCCCGAGTCCTCCGCAAACCCCCAAGCCCTGCCTTAGACACAAAAGCCAAGAGCAGCAAAGACACCTCTTCCATATCCAGAGTTACAAGTCCACCCACCGCCCCCTTCCCAAATCCAGCCCTGCCAAGTATGCTTTCAGAGTTAGAGGGCACTATATTTATTTGGTATGTGCAACAATCCCTAGGGGAGTTTGGTAAGAAGGCCCTTTCCATACTCCCATCCTACAAACTCCTCAACCCAGGGCTCCTGGACCTTTGCTTAAAGGTCTGGTCTTGTCCCTCCAGAGGCTTTCGCTTGGTACTTCCCCACTGCTACGGTTTCCTGAATACAGTAGGAAGAGTAATTCCCAGTGTGGCCAACACAGTGCAAACGTGCGGCCTGGAGTCAAATCCTGGTTTCAAGGAAGGAAGAGGCCTTCACAGGCGTGGTAAATCACATCACCCTGACAGTGACTGCTGGACCTCATCCCACTGCTTCTTTCTACACTGAGACAATAAAGTATGGACACAGTATCTGCCATGTAGCTCAGATGCCTACAGGGGCCTGCAGCAAGCACCATAAACGAGTGTATGGGGCCTGCGCCCACAGGCTGACCAGAAAGCACGTGCCCTGCCCCCTGGGGACAGGAGATGCGGAGGCTCTTCTCACTCCAGCCAAGAACAGCTAAGCAGGAATGTGGGCCTAGGGCTGTATGAGCCCCTGATATTCCAAGAGATGCCAGAAATGCAGGCCTCTCTGTGAAATCTCGAGCAAAGAAAACCTATCTGCAGGCCGCCTGCAGGCTGGCATTTTGTGAGCTCTCTGCTACCCTGGATCAAGTGCTTTCCTGCCAATGAGCGGACAAGGTGTGGAAGAACCATATTATCTTCCCAACAGTTCTTTCGGAAGGAGGCTAAGTCTCCTACACTGTCCACAGATGACAACAGAGCCTCAGAGAGGTTTAGGGACATTCCCAAGTCAGGGAGGCAGAACTAGACCACAAAAAGCAAGGAAGAAACTCACAGGAAAGCTCCTTCCACCAGAATTGAGAAGACGAGTAGAGTCTCAGTCTTCAAAGCAATGGCAAACCCATTTAGCTCAACAACTCTGGGAAGAAAATGTCCACGTTCTGCCTTTGATGCGTGGACAACTTAGCTGCTCAAAATGAGCAGGGGCCCCTGAAATCAATTATCCAAGTGACAGTCCAGAGTTTCCATAAACGAATAGGCAGACCGTGACATTGGGCTCCAGCTCAAGAATGTCGTCAGGAAATGCTTGTGGTGAAGGAATCATACTTTGGACAAATAAGGGCAAAGGAGCTGGGCGTGCTCGCCATGAGGTTTCAATTAGCATTTTGATTTTAAAATATTTTAGTTGCTTTCGAAGCCGGAATCTACCCCCTTTGAAACAGCTCAAATGCCTCGCATGTAGAAAAGCAAATGGAAGTCAAGCAGCGCCTTGCTTGTGGGGAGTCTGGGCAGCTGCCGTGGAGCACACAGGCTATCTCAGAAGGCTGCCCCGGTCAGGGCGGCCGGCGGCCCATCCCGCAAGGCTGCGGGGCAGAACAGGCAGGCACAGAGCGGGAGGCTCTGGAATGGTTTGGGAGATGCAACACAGCCCAGTGGTTAAGAGCAAGGGCCTGTGTTGGAAATCCAGTTCTGCCGCCTACTTGCTGGATGACATGGGCATTGCACCAAACCTCCCTGTCCACCAGTCTCCGGGCACCCCTCAGGGCTGGTACAAAGGCACGACGAGAGAGGACACGGGCAAACACACAGCACACTGCGGGTTCTACTGGCAGCACTCAAATGAGGTCTGTGACAATGAGCCCTTCCCATATCTCTTCATCCTCGCTGGAGAACAGAGCATCAGCAGTGTCCAGCGGGGGCACATTCCAGCCCTTAGGAGAGTCCCGTGGCTTTCCGGGTACCCTGGAGAAGGCTTCTCTCAGGGACCGGGGACTGGGCGACAAGGCTTGCCCCCTCCCAGCCCCGCCAGCATGCCATGCACTTCTCCTCTCTCCTTTCACTGCCCCCAACTCCAGGGGCGGGGTGGCAGGGGGAGGGGAGGGGGACACAGGGGCAGGAGGCCTTCACTGACCTCTCCTTAGCATCCGAAGGTTTTGTTTCTGTTTTTTTTTTTTTTTTAAAGATTTTATTTATTTATTTGAGAGAGCGAGAATGAGAGAGAGAGAGCGCACATGAAAAGGGGGAGGGTCAGAGGGAGAAGCAGACTCCCTGCCAAGCAGGAAGCCCGATGCAAGACTCGATCCCGGGACTCCAGGATCATGACCTGAGCCGAAGGCAGTCACTTAACCAACTGAGCAACCCAGGCACCCCAGCATCCTAAGGTTTTTATACTCTATTTCTGTGGTTCCCAAACTTGCCTATTTATAAGTCACCTGAGGTACTTGTTACAAATTCAGATTCCGGGAAGCTGCCTCATTCCCGAATCAGAATCTCTGGGGCAGGGCTTCTCAGCCTCAGCACTACTGATATTTTGGACTGGATAATTCTTTGTTATGGAGGGACTGTCCTGTGCATTGTGGGGTATTTAGCAGCATCCCTGGCCACTACCCACTAGGTGCCAGGAGCATTCCCACCCCCAAACTGTGACAATCAGTAAGGTCTCTGGACATTGCCCAATGTCCCCAGGAGGTCAAATTCATCCCTGTTTGAGCATCAGTTAGGTAACTGAAGACCTAAATGTAAAAAACAAAACAAAACAAAAACAACATAAAAACATTGAGGTATCAAAAAAACACCATTAAAAAAGTTGTAACAGGGGCGCCTGGGTGGCTCAGTTGGTTAAGCGACTGCCTTCGGCTCAGGTCATGATCCTGGAGTCCCGGGATC